ATTGCCCAGCACAGCCAGAGCCTCGTCACAAGAGCACCGGGCACTCACTGAAACAGCAAAGACAAGCATCTGTGGCCATCGGTGGTCAGTAGGGGACAACATCACATCCATCAAACCAAACGCAGGCAGAAGGAACAGCGCTCGCCCAGAGGAGCAGGGAGCTGCCCCACAGCCGCTTAGTCCCACCCCAAAGGGAGGCGATCAGCTTCGCTCAACTCCAAGGACCTTTATAATCTTTAAATAGCAACTTCCAAACCATTGCTGAGGCAAGGACAAACCGCTCCTGAAAATTCTGAGCCCAGAACTTTAACAGAAGGATTCGGACCACCCTCTCCAGCAGCCCCGAGTGCTGCCCTGTCTTACCAGCATCACTCCCCAGGGCCATACCCAGACACTGGTACAGACACAAAACCAGCGCACGCCTCCGTGGTCCTGGGCAGCTCTGATGCGTGTGGAAAGGGGCTTCGTCAGGTGTGGGCTCCCTCCCGGAAGAAAAGCACCCAGACACGTCACGAGGTCCCAGTCCTGGCACCTTTCTGAAAGGCAGGTGGTTCAAACCAGCCCCATGAGCTGCTCCGCAGCACAGCCACGGCACAGTGGCAGTTCCTTTCAAAAGCCTTCCCCCTCCCCTCGATCCCTTAGGACTTTTTATAGTTTTAGAAAAGTTCATTTAAAAAAAAAAAAAAAGATAAAAATGGATTGTTTGTATACCAAGTGGAAGGGGATTATTTTTTCAGTCTTTCATATAGCAATATTAAAATATCGAAGGAGCAACACCTTTTTCTGAGCATTTTGTTTCCTTTCCAAAGCCTTTTCTGAGGGAAAAATATTTTCACAGATTTTCAGCATATTCTATTAATAGATTTACTCTCTTCTTACCTGGCACTGGGCTGCGAATAGAAGGAATCACACCCAACTGGAAAAGAATTATTAGAAATACCTTTCACACTTAGGCTCTGGCTTCAATCTACTCTTCCCAAAATCCACCTTCTGCTTTCACTTTTCCTTAAAACTCTGAAGGACTCCTATAAAGAAGAAGCCACAAATAACATGTCTTGGTGCATAAAAATTAAAGAATTAAAAAACATAACCCATCCTTTGCTAGCACAAGATCCTTCGCCGCAATCTATTGCGTTGCTTTCTCTAGATTAGATTTCAAATTCTCTGAGAAAAGGACTCCCCCGCTTCCCTGGAGAGTTTATTGCAGATTAATGATCTCAGTGTCAAGGATTTTTCTCCTGCTGTTCAGCCATAATTCTTCCCTTGTTTTTTCCTTTCTTCCTGCCATTATACTCCCTTGCATCACATTAAATTAGTCTCCACATTGTTGAGTTAGCTGCCTACAAACCCAAGAACATACAATTTTCTATGGTGAATTCTTATCCCAGAGACTACTTTCATCTGTCAAATAATCATTGTTAAAAATGAACTGGGGAAAAGGTAAACACATGTGGCTTGAGCATGAAATCAAGTTAACTTGTAATTCAAAATACGACCTTCCTTACCGTCAGCCAGAAATCCTAAATTATTTGTTTAACCTAAACCAGTTGCTACCGTACTTGTACTGCAAACCAGCATCGCCATCGCTGATCAGGCAGCTTCAGGTGGGAACAAGAAATTCAGATTGACGCCACCTAAAGAAAGCAAAATTCAAACATTTGCCATTTTAAAGTAAAGAGGTTGCAGACATGTTGTATCTTCTGTGCATTTCAAAGCCAATTCAGTAAATTAAAAATCACGCTTAAATTTATTGGTTGCGACATCCCTCAGATCCCGTAACATGTTTTTCCTGTCAGACCATGGCAGCGTTACACAGTCAGAATTTGTGGATGGCTCGCAAATATCAGCAGCTTTGAAATGAAAATTTTAGTCTGCTTTTAAAGTCAGCTGAATAAAAGACCTTTTTCCACATAATTTACCAAATATATCTTGATGTCTTTTTTAAAAAAAAAAAAAATCACTTTTTTTCTTGAAGACTAAGCAACTGCACTAGATCTATGACTTCAGAGCTCAAGTTTTTAAGCTTTGCATTTAATGATGCCATAAACACTCTTCCTAAGGGTTCTATCTAAACTTTAGAGCAAACAGAAGGCAGCGTGCACGTTGGTTGTGGCTAGGAGACTTAGCATCAGGAACCGATGTTCTACTCCTGATTGTCTTGATGAATCACTAAGTGACCTCGAAGAAGTCATTTCACCTCTCTTTGCCAATTATCCAAGCCGTGTAGAATTTAATAGCTCCTCTCTCGAAAAGTGAGGCTCACTTCACAAACACCCACAGAACACCACAGAGAATTCTGGAGAAAGCGTAACCAGAGGAGTACTGCTACTCCCGTTCGGATCGCAAAAACTGTGCCAGGAAAAGCTTCAGGTGGAACAGTCAAAACGACCAGGTGACAAAGAGCTCGTGAAAATCCCTTCCTGAGTTCTCTTCTCAGTCAATAGTCTGTTACTTTGTGTGTATCCGTGTGCACGTGTTCCTTTTCCATTTGATTTAAACTAGCGCGAGTCACAGAGGTCACAGGGCTGTCTGCGTGGGGAGTTACCAACCGCAGCGACCGCTCCTCTCCCTTCCGTCGCGACCACGAGTGGGAGCCCCCGAGGGCTCCTCGGACCAACGAAGCATCTCACAACCCGCGTGTGATGGTCTATTTTTGATAAACCAGTAAGGCATTCCAATGCAATGTGTTTTCTTTAGAAGTTTTATGTTACGAGAAGCTCTCAACCTTATTGTTTTCTATTTTCGTACTATAAATGGGCTTTGCTTACAAACATCAGAGGACAGATACAAGATGTACTGTATACAGCTGCAGGTAGCTTCATTTGAGAACAACTTTCTAGAAGAACCAAGTTTCCTGTTGTCTTCTTTTGGAATTGTAGTGCATATGTTGAAACTTGTATATCATTTACAGTATTGAGTCTTGTGCCACTGCTGTACCTGATGTATCCAATCTGGATTAAACAGAGTATGTGCCACAAATACCGACATGATGCTGTAGATTTCTTCTACCAAAAATTCTGGGACATTCTTTCGGAGAATTTTGGGTGTTGGCCTCAGCTACTGGAGTTGCATTTAAATGCTAATAACTCTTACTTAAGCAATCATTAATGAAGACAGCAAGATACACAAGATGCTACGGGAGAGCAGTAACGCAGATCCCTAAGCCGTCTCCTGTGGTACCCTCCTTCTGAGCACTAAGCATTGTAAAAAAATCCATCTTGGAGACAAAATCAGATTGTCTTGGCATTTTCCAACCATGCCAGGCAAATCTTGGTGAATCCCATTGCTGGGGTAATCTGTGACACAAAAGGTAGGGAAAAAAGTACAAAAGTACTTCTCCTAACGAGATACTTACTCTATTTAAAGAGCACATCCTAAGCCTTTCTTTTAAAAGACCAACTCTGTTCAGGCCAAAGCCTTAAACCTTGTGTTGCAGAGAGGGTCACCTCGCTTCAACCACGAAACGCGTAGAGCTGATCTCAGCCATACCGGAAAGTGGCATCTAGAGGCGTTATGGAAAATTTTCAGAAACGTTTAAGCAAAAATTAAGACTACTTACGAGGCGACCCCTAGCAGGCACCGAGTGGAGCGGAGCAGAACCGCTCAGACCATGTTCTCTTGCAGTAAAGGCCGACACCCACCAGGGGCCACCCCCGCACAGCTGCGGGAAAGCACCGCCCGCCCCGAGGCGGGACCCACGGCGGCCCCGCTCGCCAGTTTCGCGCAGAATTCCTGAGCCGCTCCTGAGCTAAATCAACCGGGCAGCTCTCCCGCCCTGTGAAGAGTCTGAATCGCGTGGGCTAAAGCTGAGACCCACGACTGCACAGCACGGTGACAAGTGCCGCCAGGGACAGCACAGGGCTCACACCGGGAGTTCACAGGCACGGCAGGAGCGCTCAAGCAGCACGTGGTTTGCGTAACCCGAGTGAAAACTGACTTCTCAAAATGAATTTGACAGCTGCTGAAGGTGAGCAATCCAGCATCCCTGAAAACACTCATTTCACCAAATTCAAGAAGTCAGTCTCCTTGGAAGCACAGCTCAAGAGTAGGTAGTGAGCAGTGCTTTCATTAAGAAAATTCCAGCTTTACTCTGCCCCAGAAAAATAAAAAACAAAAAAAAAATCCCAAACCAAACAACCAGCGGAAGAAATCTGTCTCTGTGATCCCAACCATAGATAAAGTTTCAAAATTAGAAGAGTCAATACCCTAAGTCAGCCAGTACCCTCATCTTTTCCTGCTTTGGGACAGCTACACGCAAAGCAGCGCAACCCAAACAGGAAACACCAATTAGTTTTAGTACTAAAAGGTAATTTCATTTCTAATTAAAGCTTTCCTGTAAGTGTGGCAAGTCTGATGTCGCTGAACCCAGAGGGATAGACCAATTATGACTGCTGCACTCTTTCTACATAATTAAACCATCCTCTACTGCACAGCTTGCCATACACCTAGCTATAGAAATGTTATTTATACAATGTTAATTAACTGGATCTAAATTAGCAATACAGGCCTTGAGATGCAGGTTACTCTCTGCCACTTAACTCATATATAATCAGTGCCTGGTGTTTTTAATAAGAGAATTACAGAAAACAGAACGATCTCCATAAAGACACTCTGCAGCCTTATGGTGAACTTGTCTTGCCCCAGAAGTGAGACAGAAGACAAGTCAGGCAAAGAGAGCTGGGGCTGGTTTCTGTGATCTCCTCACTGAAATTTCTAAGTGTAAGCAGCTGCCTTTTACCTCCCTTTGGTTACTCTGGATTGTAAAGATTGCAACCCAACATCCAGCTGTCTTTCATTTCCTTTTATTAACAACTTGTAACACCGTCACTGGAATGCATGTAAAACATTTACCTACACACAGCCTGCTTACGAAAAAGACATTTTTCTTTGACCTCAAACAATGTCTGTGTTTGTCAAAGTACTCGTGGCCCAGCAGTTCCGTCCTCCCAGCAATGCCTGTTGGTTGTGCCAGCCAGCCCGGCCCCGGCAGCATCACGGCATCAATCACTTTTCAGCAGCTCCTGAAGATAGACTGAGTTGGCACGATAGGCATTCACCCAGGTAAACTGTCTGTAACTCCTCCTATAGTGAGACACCACAGCGTAGTAGTTCTGCCACGCTTGGTAGTAAGACTTCCAGTAGTTTTTGTAACTCCAAGCCTCATAGGGAACACCATCACCCCAAGAGCTGCAGGAGCAGTCCTCTTCAGTTTTCCTAGAAAATTGCTGGTAATGGCTTTTCTTTTGTTTAACGTTTTGTTTTGGAACTTTCTTTTTCACTTGATTTTGCTTTGGGACTTGCGATGGCTCCCGAGGCTTTTCTGGTGTAGGACAGAAGCCTCCATGACCCTGACGTGTTGTGGGAACAGCATTACTCTCCCGAGTGTCTGAAAATGCTTCAAAACGCGAGTTATTTTCCCTACTATCGGAGGAAGCCCTGGAACTGTACGAACCATCACTGTCACCAGACACAACACCGTTTGCTACCGTCCCTGTGTTACACTCCACCTCTCTCCACTCCACTCCGCCATTTCTGGGGAGCTCACCTTGTTCTCCTGGGCCTGAATAGCTTCTCAAAATTTCCACCTCTCTCTCCAGCCCTTCTTTAATGAAATACTCATAGTCTTCAACAAACTCTGAGAAGCTCCAGGGATTGTTTGTTTGGTTTTTGAAAGAAGACAGGCACGGAATTTTGGGGAGATTTTTTTTTAAGGTCTCCTCATCTGGAGCCCGAGCGTTACGTTGTTCATCCGTTCTGGAGACGGGTTTGACTCGATTCCTCTGTTCCGTGCGGCAGCTGGAAGTTTGAGGGTTTCTGCTACTTTTTCCTACATTTGCAGAATTTGTGCACTTTTTTATCTGCTTTTGCTTCAGAGCCTTTTTTGGCCTTTCTGCAGAAGAATTATCACCTGGAAGATCAGGAAGATGCTGAGGTACCTCTGAAAAACTATTTTGGAGAGGCTGCAGTACTGGTTCCTCTGGTCGAAGACACACAGTGTCAGAATTCAGTGAAGCACTTGTATGTGTAACAGGTTTGACTTCTACCTCCCCATCTTCAAACTGATCCATCATCCCCGGAGGTATCGGCTCTGCACGAAAGGGAAACAAGCAGGGACGCAGTTCAGTGCATCCTGCCCTCTAGAACTCAAACGAGTGCCAAAGCAAAGTTTTGCAAAATCACAGGTAAGATGTTAAGATATGCTAAGTTAGGGCTACAGAATGATTCCTTCAATTCATGAAAGAGCTCCAATAGCCACAACATTTTCTTCATGGATGGCATCCAAAAGTTGATCAGGGCAAACAGCACGGCACTACTTGTCACCTATTTTTCATACCCATTTCATCATTCAACCAGATAAAGTCAGAACTTATGCAAGAAGGCAAATGCTACATTTCTAGCAGAACAGCTTCTGGCAAAGCAAGGGCAGAAAATCTGTCGTTTCAATTACTCCCTCCTTCTACTGTATCTTACAGCGTTAGAAAGGCTTAATAAGAGATTTCTGGAAATCCAAGTAGTTCTGCAGTTGCTCGGGCGGCAGCTGGATGCAGGGCTCATCTCCCCACCCACAGCCCCGCACAACTGCGTTTCCTACTGCTTCGCACAACTGCAGCAGTCACATGAGGAGCCGTTAGCACACAGCATGAAAACCTCGCACCAAAATTAATGCAGCTTCAGCAAAGACAGACCCCAGTTCCCTACGGACTTGCCTGAAGCTCTGAGTAAACAGAAAACCACCAACGAGCAGTTGCATTCACAGGTCAGAGTGTACCTGGTAGAGGAAGTAGCTGAAGGTTACATCTCTGAGCAATTTTCATCATCATGTTTTCTTCCTCTCCGCGGCAGCAGTATGTCACAGATAGACCCAAAGTCCCTGTGACACACAACAGAAAATGCAATTACCTGACCAGAGCCAGGGACACAAGCGCAAGCTCAAGAAATCCACGTGACTCTTCTTACCAAAGCGCCCAGCTCTGCCGATGCGATGCATGTACGTCTCCCAGTCCACAGGGACGTCCAGGTTGATAACCAGATTCACTTTTTCAGCATCAATTCCACGAGATGTCTTGAGAAAACAAGGAGAGAAGAGGATACATAAATGAATACACTGAACAGATCTTTAAACAAACACAAAAATTAGGGATCCTTTTTCTTATGCCTAAGCAAGCCTGGGTTTAACCCCCAGCATCAAAAAACCTGGCCCCAGAGCAGGCAGCAATCTTTTCTTGACGGCACCTCAAATAATCAACTGAAGAGAAACACACATCAGCCACAAAAAAGCTGAGTGTACCTCAGACGTAACCACTGCTCTGCTGCAAGCTGTTTACTACTGTGAGCACCCTGTACTAGAGAACTCACTACTCCTTCCCACAGCTCCTATCCAAAGCAACCAACTCTTCTCCTCTGAAACACCCGTAGGCTTCTGCAAAGCAAGAGATGAAAACTATTTTTGAGCCAGATTAGGAATAGGGAACAATTTCTAAATTTCACAATGAAAAGGAGCTGCACACAGCGCTTGCGTCATGTGCTTTACCAGCACGTGTATGTTCTGTTCAATGCCAAGTCCAAGTTAATTCGCTGAACTAACTTCAGGTGCAACACTCATGTGCTAAAAAACACAAACTCACCAAGTCCGTGGAAATCAGAACTCTGCAGTGGAATTGCTTTAATTTAGCCATAGCATCAAGACGCTGATTTTGGTTCATGCTGCCTAGAAAAAAACAAAAATGCAAACCTCAAATTCTGGAAAGCTTTAGACAAATTTGACTTAAACATATAAGCCATGGAAAACACAGCTGAAGAAAAAATTCAATGTTTCTAATCTGGCTAGGTGCCAGATACCAGCTTCTCATATACGAGCTACAGATAAAGAAGACCTAAATTCCAGAAAAACACTATTTCAACCTACAAATCTAAGTAAACTTTCTCTTTAAAAATAACTCAATGCACTCATCTGGACATCCATAAAAATAGTCTCAAGTAAAATTAAAAGACAGGAAAGTTAATCAAAGTAAAAATTAATCAATATCTCATCCTAAAGACCCACGAAGATTCGAAGGCTATTCTTAGTTACTTAAACCAGAGGCCACGTAAACCAAGATTGAACATTAATTTTAGGTCACATTTATGTACAACTTAAGGGAAATGGAAAGTTTTGAATGGACTTACCTGAAATGCACTCAGCAGTTTTTTTTTATGTCAGTATTTCAGCTAAATGTTGAGCCCTGACAGAACAAGCACAAGGAAAACCATAAATAAAAGTGACCTAAAAACTCCTGGCCCTTTCGTAACAACACACTACTCTCTGCGGCCAAGGGCTACGTTCCAGAAGCGTCCTTTCCATTAAGCCTACAGCAGTCACCTTACATATGGAAAAGGACAAGAGGACATGAGGTCTCACTGCATTCTAAGAGGGGGCCCTTCATGCCAAAGCACCCCTTTATTTTCAGTGTTTCACACTGCATTCCTCTGGCTGTATTTCCGACTGAAATACTGCTTTGAGAACTTACAGGTCTATGTTAAGTTTATCCAAGACTGGACGCTACAAACGCTTTTGAACGCAATTTTTACAGACTTTATTTCAAATTTGTTACCTGCTATGTAAATTTGAAAAGACTAAGGCTTGATTAAACGGAATCTTGCTGAACAATTCCTGCAGGTGCTGGGTCTTTTCCTCAAAAGTTTTATGCGGAAGCGGATGGGAGCTCACGATTTTGTAATACTGCTTCAGCCCTGGGCAGGAAACCAAAAACCTGTCAGATCAAGGGTTTCCATAAAACGTGCACATGTAACGCTGCTGTCAACACGTGTCACTACAACTAAAAGACTTCAAATTCAACTTAAGAGAATTAGGACTTCAAATTCAAACCGGCACACACACGTGCCGAATATCACTATAAACAAGCTTCTCCTTACCAATGAGACTTGGATCAGTGGGGTTCAGCCTCACAAACGTCGGCTCTCTCATGTACCTGGTCAAAGCATTAGCTAGTGATTCAGGGTAAGTGGCTGAAACCGCAAGCATCTGTTTATTGGCTGGGAGTGAAGAGTAAATCCAGCTGTGACACAGAAATGGAAACTGGTAACCAATACGTATCTTGTCTACTGATGAACACACAGGATAAATGTTTGTCTTACTTGATTTGTTCCTGAAAGCTGCCTTCTTCCAGAAGCTTGTCTGCTTCATCGAGAATGAAAAGCCGGATACTGGCTGTGTTCAAGTAGTCCAACTCTATGAGCTGTTTTATTCGACCTACATACGAAGAAAAAAGTTAGAAGGAACTTCAAAAACATTAAATGAAAGGTTCTAATGACTAATTTTGGCATTTCTTTCAGAAAATAATTTTATTAAGCCTTTTAAAAAGGCATATTGAGAATAAGCTCTCGCTAAAAAATACCTAGTCTAAACGTCTCTAGCACTGGCCTTTGGGAACATCCCCTATTACTTAGAAAAAAACCCCAACAAACCCACCCCACATTTGGAAAGTCACCACGAAGCCCCGCGAAGCTCGTCCCCACCTGGTGAGCCCACCGCGATGTGGCACTTCTTGAGCCTGGCTTTGTCCTGGCTCAGAGGAGTCCCTCCGATGAAGACGTGGCACTCCAGGCCTTCCATTTTCACCCCAATGGTGGCCACGACGGCGTGGATCTGCACCGCGATCTCTCGTGTCGGGGCCAGGATCAGGATCTGGGAAGACGCGGATTTCAAACAGGATGTCTCACAAGCAGCAGCGCTGCTCCAAAGGCGTGTGAGACGTCCTGTTTGAAATCGTTACAACCCGCCAAAACTCCTCACAAACCCACGACTGGGCTTACCTGCGTGGCGGGGCTCTCCAGCACCACCGCGTCCAGGGCGATGGTGGAGAACACGCAGGTTTTGCCGGTGCCGGACTTGGCCTGCACGATGAGATCTGGGAAAAGCCGCCACAGCGGGTC